GAGCTACCTCCATAGCTATCTAGAGTCCATAATGTGTTTCATGTATCCATGCTATGCAAGTACAACCCAAACCTCACACATATCCTGTCCCACATGCCTATTTCACTACAGAAGAATTTATCCTATGAGGAGGTACCGATAGACATTGTAGACCAAAAGAGTAGAGTATTTCACAACAGAAAAATTTCATTCATCAAGATCTTATGGTAGAATCAAACTTATAAAGAGGTCACATAAGAACTAGAATCAGACTTCAGAGCTCAACACTCCCACATGTTCGACTGACTGAGAGGGTGACAAATTTGAGAGACCAAATTTTTCTTAAGTGGAAAAAGTTGTAATATCCGAACCCAAAAATCAGTCCGGGATAATCTTTTTTATTTATAAAGTTATATAAATAATTAATTTAATTTTTATTTAAATTAATTTAATTTAAGTTATTGAAAAAAAATGAAATAGGGAGGAAATTGAAAATAATTTTGAAAAAAATGAGTAAAAGTTTGAATAAATGGGGTGTTTTTGAATGAAAACTTGAAAATAGGGGGCAAAATCATAAAAAGAGAAAATCTGGCCATGTGGGATGGTCCAATCAGCAGCCACGGCACACTAGAGCACGCCGCGTGGCAAACACACGCTGAAATCAGTGCCACACGAGTGATTCATGTGTCTGGTGATACGACGTCCCTGATCACGTCCCACACGCATGAACGACTCAGATGCATTCCCCCTTTAAGCGCGATCAGAGGGACGAGATCAATTACGATAAATAGTTTAGATATGATCACGCAATAAGTCTAAACAGGCAACGATCGGATGACTCTCCTTACTACATGTCGACGTGAATGGATGACCCAAATCAATGTGGGATAGGTATTTAAATATCGCATCTCAGAGAACCCTAACCCTACCTACACCTGCTCTCTCCGGAGAAGAAGAACCAAACGCGGGAGAAGGAGACTGACCTCCAGTCGCCACCACATCGAAGCAACTGCCGACTGCAAAAAAAGGTAAAATTTTTCCTTTCCTGCTCGAAATTCAATTCTGAATCTCCCTGTGGCCACATCAGAGTAAAAAAGACAGTAGGTGAGCTAAAAACTACGGACAAAACCCGGCGGAGCCACCGTAGCCAAAACTCTAAAACTCCTCCAATGAGCCCCTTCTCATTTCCTGTTTCACACAATTTTTTGACCATTGTGTTCACCGTTCTTTTCTATATATATTAGCCAAAGAAGAAACCACAACTTCGAAGGAAAACAGATGGAGCCGCTGCACCCTGAGATCCACATGCCGGTAGGTTCAATTTCTTTCGATTTTTGGCCAACCAAGGCCCTCTAACATATTTTTCTGCAAGGATACGTGCCAAACCGACCAAAACTAGCCAAGTCGAGGCAAATTGCCGCCTTAGAGGGTGGAGCCAGCATCGGAGTGCGTTGGCGCCGTCGTTCTAGAACCCTAAAATTTGCCAAAAAAGATTTTCAACACCGATTTTAGATTTTTAGGGTTTTTTTATATACGTGACAAGTATTTTGATTTCCACAGAAAAAATTCAGGAAATTCAAGACCCGTTAAGAGGTGTAATAGATAGTACAACGTTTCAAAATACTGATCTGAGTAAGAATCCCTCACCTTATTTACTGTTACAGTAAATTAAGATTTAATGATGGATAATTTTGGATTTTGTGATAATTAGAAAAAATTCTAAAAATAATTAGAAGTCACTAGTAAAGCCGGAATTGGTTAGATTATATTTTTACTGATTTCCTTTTTATTTTTCTGTAATGGCTAAATTGCTTATTATTATATTGTGCGTTGGTGGTTGTTTGGATGATGAGAATCTATATAAATGAAAGTTTGCTCGGTATCTTGGGAAATGGTGAACGGACATTGTACATAAGGAACCCTACTGAAGACATTACTTCAATCGAACGGCGCTGAGAAATCCTATACCATAAGGGTTTTGAGAGATATGGTTTACCTTCATATCAGACGGGGTATCGAGGCAATAGTTTTTTTGGTGTCCATTACCGAACGGGGTATGGAGACGACCGGATTAATTGTTAAATCTTGATACTGGGTCCACGAGTAGAGATATATCCCTATAGACTCGCAGGAGTCCCAGTAAGTAGCTTAAAAAGGAAGAATTGTTGATCCTATGCATGAAAAAGAAATGTTATTTGGATATTTATCTGCATAAGTTGATTTTAAAAAAAACTGTAATGGTAAGTATCGGATAGAACGTTTTAAAGTTAAATGTATTGTCTTAAAAAAAGGCTCTGTTAGTTGTTTTCTGATTTTTACCAACCTTCGATTTTCTGTATCAGTGATTAGTATTGTATTCTAGTTGGACTAGTATAGTTCACCCTTTTATTAACTATTTTATATCAATAATACCAAGTTCTAGATCCCGATTAAGAAGATGATTGTGAGTAGTTCACTTCTCGGACTCCCTTCAGATGCTAGTGAAGGTTACCCCTAGGATATCTATTCTTTTTTTTTTTTAATTATCGTTTGTCTTTTTATGAACCAATCTAGAAATGACATTTCTATAGTCTTATTGGGCATTCTAATTTATTGTGTAAAAAATTTAAACCCTAAAATAATTATTCGTTTTCGCATTTAAAATATAAATTCATTTCCTTTGAGATCTGGGCTATTACAAAATTAATCTGGACCGCATGATCAGATTAAATTTAACTATTCGATCACACCTAAAGAGAAAACGAATTTAGGTCGTCCATGCGCGCGGGAGGAGGTTAGGGCACTTGGATCCACTGGCACACTGACCGCCCGCGTGCTTCCCGTATGGAGCATTGACGCGTGTCTGCCATACAACGGATGGCAACCGACTGCGCTGCTAATGTGGCAATCCCGTGGGTCA